TGCATTAAGATTTTCTGACATCTTTGTTACACGATTCTAAGTTGGGTCTAGGCAGCAAAATTCAGAATGTCACTCATTCCTATCACTTATACCCTATTTCATCAAAAGCATACTTGGTATAACCATCATGAACCTAAAAATAGAACCAAAGAAAAACATTCTAGCAACAAAACCAGTGACTTGAAACTATATACAATGTGAATACAAATTTACTGACTTACTCAGTAGGGATCATTTCAATAGATCTGGATATGAGCTTTATGCTGATTTCCTGAGTTAAAAGACACACCAAAGGTCATCAATAAGTAATCAACTGAATCAGGGATCAATTTAATACTCAAATATACTGCTCAAGTCTATCTGAAGCTAGGACAGAGAATTTGTCTGTACAAGTTAAACCAATGTGTAACACTCTGGAGTATAGCCACTCCAGAGTGACACCCAAGTCAGTTATTTAATTAAACTGGCCAAAGAAATCAAAACTAATATGTAACAAATCCTGAGTTCCCAAGTCACCCTGTCACAGCTCTAACACAGCTGTCACCACTGCACAGTCTCCCCTGTCTCCGCACACAGCAGACGGAGGGGATGGCAGACCATGCTGAGGCATCGCCCATAACACCTTGCACAGTGCTTAGCATGTGGGAAGCACTCAGTAGCTGTTCGTCCTTCCCGGCTCACCAAAGTTGTGTAGCCCATTTCGAAAGCTACCCTGGACCAGGGCTACAGCTCAGTGGCACAACGCCTGCCTGGCAAGCACCTGGTTGTGAGTTCAATTCCCAATACAAAAAAAAAAAAAAAAAGCTACCTTAACAAATGCATTCTCCATGAAAAAAACAACTAACCAAAGCATGAGATTAACACCTAGGTTACCATAAGATATAGAATTAAACCCAAATACTGTGACAATCTTGGATTAGTAAACCTTTGAAATAAAACATCATAAACATACATATCACACTAAATCCTATGAGAGTAGGGGATAAACAACCACACACATAATAATGCACAAGAAGCCATAACACTGCTTAATTTCCCAACTGCACAATAGCAGGGGTTTGATCTTATTTTACACTCCCACAACAAAAATAAAAACAATCAACCAAGGGTAAAGAGGAGGAGTCAGAAAACATTCAGAGGGTGTGACCAGGAGAAATCTGCTGAGCTGCGGATCTGGAGAACTGACAGACTCGAGAGAAGTAGTTCTTTAACATTCTACCATATAGCCACCAAAATAGTGCAATGGAGCTATGTGATGCTGTAATCAAGTTCTTTTTTTGAGTGTCTGAGATGTTTTAACACAATAGCTTAGGGAGGCCAGGGATGTAACCCTTTGGTAGGGCACTTGCCTAGCTTGTGCAAGGCCCTGAGATTAATCTCCTCAGAATCTAGGTATACATCTACAGCCTGTTAGTATCTTTGACACAAGTCCCTCTATGAACCTCTTCTATATTCGAAGGGAAGAAAAACATATATTCCCACACAGAAAAACCTTCAGATGTACTACTGGAATGATTGGCAGGACTTAAGAGTTCACCGCGACCATGAGCCAATCCTTCTCCCCTTAACTCTATCACTAGGTTCCACCCACATTGCTCTTAATCATTTTAAAAAATGTAGTGAAATTATACCGTTAATAATGCTCATTGTCATTATCTTACCTTACTAACTCCAACTCCAGTAAACCTGGCTTCTAGTAATTCCTGCCGTCGTGGGTCCAGGCTATGCAATTCTTCCATCATTTCTACTGAAAAAGAAAAGGTAAACTGTGAAATTATAAGAACTAGGCTGGGTGCACTGGTGCACACCTGTAATCTCAGCACTGGGGAGGCTGAGGCAGGAGGATTGTTGCAAGTTCCAGGCCAGCCTTCGCTACAAAGTAAGCTCAAGACTAGCCTGAACTGCATAGTGAGACTCTGTCTCAAAAAGACCAAAAAAAAAAAAAAAAAAAAAAAAAACAAATCATAAAAACTAAAATGTGCAGAACCAGTCTTAAAATTCAGTGATTATTCCACTGAGGGCGCACATACAGGTAGGCCTCAAGGAAACATAGCATTCACATGATAAACTATAATGCATTACAAATGGTTTGGGTGGAGTTTTGTTTGTTTAGTTTTTTTATTTTTTTGCAACAGGGTCTGAACTCAATATGTAGACCAGGCTGGGCTTTGAACTTGAATCCATCCTCCTGCCTCAGCCTCCCAAGTGCTAAGGTTGCACAGATGTGCATCACCACGCCCAGCCTACAAACAGTTATTTGATGTTAAGTGACCCAAAGTTATTCAGCAGCTCAGCAGCCCTGTTGAGGGCCACTTACTCTTCCCAAGTTTTGATTTGATTTTTAACAGAGGGGGAATAAATCCTTCAAGCTCCTCACATAATCTCTATAAAAGTTGAACAGAGAGGCACAAGAACCTGCCTGGCAAGGGTAAGGTCCTGAGATCGATTCCTGGTACCCCCCCCAAAAAAAAGTTGAACAGAAGGAAAAAACGTAGGTGGGCTTGCAAAAAAAAAAAAAATCTTATCAATCTTTGAATTTAGGTAAGTGCTTCCAGATATTTCTTTCCCAAACATACAGGGACTAATTCTTAAACTAAAAATATGAATCATTAATAATTTCAAAAGAATATGGCATGAATCAGAAGCTACAAATAACTTCAAGTAACACTGTTATACAGCTCCTTTCTCTGAAAGCCCACAGTAGCTCATGAAGATAGGAATTAATTATTTTAAATTTAATAAAGAACCCATGGTAAAAAACCATCAACCTGCACTCATTCAGGAAATCAATACAGCTCCACAACAATCCCTTTATGAAATCTTTCTCTGACCACTCCCTGGAGCAGTAGGTTTCTCTGACTCTAGACATCTGCTTTTAGCACTCCTTCCAAGCAGGGAGGGGCAGGAGGACACCATTTTTAAACTCCTTTCCTGACCAATTAATGCACAGATCACTCTGAGCAAATATGTCCATCTTTGCAAGAAATCAGCTCTTGCAAGATCCGCTGGAAATCCTCCGCTCAATTACAAGTGGGAAACGAGCCTGTGTCATTCCACCGAGCCCCTTACTGCGAACGTAATATTAAGTACTTACTAGCATGATTAGCGAGATTTTAAAGTTCACCAAACACATGAATCAAACGTTCTCCTCTGCCATCTAACAACTCCACAATTTCTAGTAACAGCCCTTCCAGTTTCATTTCCCTTCCTGGACTGAGAGCCTGGGGCAAAGGGGAATGAGAGGGTGACGAATTAAAGTTTCATCCACACAGCCCAGCGCCGGCGCGAGTGGGGAGCGGGGCGTCCTCGCAGGGCTGGAGAGGCGTCTTTTAAAACAGGGCGCAAACGAGCTCTGCCCAGGCGGGCAGCGGCCGCGCTCGCCCCCGCCGCCCCGATCAGGTCGGACCCGCAGGGCTGCGGCGCCCGCCCGGCCCCGCGGTCTCCCGCCGTCTCCCGCACCTCCGTCCTCGGGCCTGCCCGGAAAAGGGCGCCCCGGCGCTGCTGCGTTTAATGTCAACTCATGTCGGGGACATCGGCGCTCGCGCCCGTGCCGGGGCCGGGGCGCGCTCCTCCCCGCAGC